CTTATCTTCATCTCATTCCCACCTGGTGCTTTATTCCAGTCCCTGCTTTTTCAAGTTGCTCCGAATGCGTAGATTAGTGTTCCTCTTTGAACCGACATGATGGTTTTTATATTTGGTTCCCAGCTCTGACTGCTTGTGGAAACCCTCCTATTAAACTGTCTGGTAACTACCATTGAACTTTCCTAATTAAATAAAGAGATCTTTTCCAGCATGTTTGTCTCCTATTTTACCATAGTGGTTCTACAATGGTGTATGACTTATAGGCAAAATTGTCGAAAAATGAAACACTAGGCTGGATGACGAGAGGGAAGCAGACGTATGTGATACATAATAATACATTGATATCTAGAACTACCGTTCACTGTATGTCTCCAATCCTCACAGCCGCCTGATAACACAAGTGGTGCTGTTTGTCCGCATTTTGCTGATAACATGAAGCTCAAAAAGCTTAATTTATATCTCCAAAGTTCCATACACTTTGAAGTATGGAATATGATGTCAGTTCTATCTTTCTACAAGTTCTCTCAGCTTTTCACCACGATACAATGTCCTTTCAACACACGTTTCTTATATTTAAACTGTCTACAGTTTAGAGAGTTAAGTGTAAAAAAAAAAGCCCCTTTTGAAATTAAGTGTTCCTCTAAGTTGAACTTCTATTCTCCAATTTTTTATTTGTTAGAGGTACTGTTATTCTACTAGTTATTCTAATTCTCTCCCACTCCAGGCATTCCTAAATTCTCTCTTTCATGCATCTGAAACTTTAATGGGTTGAATCCTTCTGACTTCTCCCTCATCACCTCACTGAGATCTGTCCTTTTGTGTCTAGTTACCACTTTCCATTTGAATCTTCTCTGCTCTCTTTCCTGCAGTTTTCCAGCTTTTCCAATTGGTAAGGCTCAACTAATCATACTAAACTTCTGCTCTTGCTAGTCATTTTCCTACTGAGAACCTCACGGTGGTTCTGTGACTTTTAATAACCAGCCTCAGCCTACTTTCCCATCTCTTATCTCATACAGTTCAGACATGAATTGTTCATGACACCCAGGGGAATTCCCTCTTTCTTATTGAAACCCATCTTGTTTGTCCCGGCCCCAAATCCTTCAGAGATTACTGCGACTCCACTTCTTCAAGGTGTTACACAACTGCTACATCTTCTGAAGTTTACAGTCTCTTGGAAGGGGCACTGGGCCTAAAAACTCATCTGTCTCCCTGGTGACCCCACCTACCCAAGCAGAGGAGCACCCAATTGCCCCAGCACCTCTCCCACAAACCTGAGGTCCTACCTGAGACCATGGAAACCCCAACCAGGGTCACTCACTATTGTAGAAAAGCTGCTGAGTGGCCCAGTGCCCCTTCCAAGAGACAGGTCATCTTGAATGTCTCTGATTCACTCTGATATTTATGGTCCAGTACGCACATTGGTGACATGGGGTTACACACTGCCTGGCATAGTATTAAGAAGGGACTGAAATACAGTTGAATACAAAGAGAAATGTGTCATTGAAAGACAAGCTGAAACTCTCATCTTCTCCCACATCCCTTTCGATCCCCTAGTGGTCCACTGGGTTTTAAGAAATGATGATTCACTAACCTTTCCCATCTTTGGCATCATTGCATGTGGTTCTATATATTTCGCTTGCAATAAGAATCAGTAGTAAGTTTCTGCAGTGTTTTATCTTTCAAGTATAAATTGCTATATATATATATATATATATATATATATATATCTCACATGAATACTTTTAACATTTGTTTTGTATATTTTTCACACTCACAATGTGAGCCCACCAGTCATTTTTTTTTAGTAGGAAAATGACAGGCTGAAACAAGGAAGAATCACCATAGAAGAATTTAGATCAATTTATCGAATTATTGTACATAGAGAAGAAATTGTTGAGATTTTCAACACGTATTCCGAAAACCGGAAAATTCTTTTGGAAAACGATCTGGTTGAATTTCTGACACAAGAACAATATGCATTTGAGATGAGTAGAACTATTGCTTCTGAGATCATTCAGAAATATGAGCCCATCGATGAAGGTATGTTTGCATTTCAAAGCTTTGTCAATATTTATAAGCAAAGTATTTTTTATGAGTTACGATTATCAAATTTAAATTTTTGTATGGGACGAATTTCTTCTGGAAATTATAAAATATTGGGACTTTTTGTATTTTATGGAGTGTATATGTACCTTTTAGAAAGCTGTACTGTGTAACCATGGCATTTTTTCCTACTGCATCATCCAGCTCCTTTCTTTTAACTGTTTCCATGTAACATTTCGCTGAAATGACCTTAGGTATAAAAGTAAGACAAGGGTTCTGTTACATGTACCCTATTAAAAAAAGTGTCTTGATCTCATGAATAAGATAAAAACCTAATTATAGGCAATCTTTCTTTTTTTTGCATTATATAATTGAAAATATATATGAAAATTAAATGAGCTAAATGAAAACAATTCTAGAAAGAAGACAAAATATTACAAAATCACTAATTTCTTCTCTGTTTATAAATATAATTACTACAGGACTTTATAAATATTTTAAAAGTTTCACTTTTTCTTTACTTTTGAACACATAGTCATTTGGTTTAAATTAAACAACCATTTAGGCTAATAATCTGTCATATAATTTGTGATCTTTGTCCCATCCTTCAATGGGTGAAACACTTCAAATGTTTTCATTTATGCTCATGTTTAAATAAAACCGTAAACACAATGAAATAAAATATTTGCAGAATTATGTGCACAAAAAAATTGTTAAAGCACAATGTTTAACCCCATAGAAATTAACTGATAGAATAGCTCAAAATATTCACTTAACATCAAGGGAGGTTGTGAAAGTCCATACTCTGCTTTTGAAAGTTGATTTAGTTTACCAGTATTTAACATATAACATGGGTTCTTACAAAGTTAAACTCATCCCTTCATTGAATTATGCATTCATACTTTATCCAAATGTTTATATGTGGCAATCAAGTGTTATTCTAGGGGCTGGGGATAAATTGGAGAACAAAGCAACTAGGTATTATATTCCTGATGGGATCTGGAAGAAGATTGACATAAATAATTAGGTATATAAAAGGTTAATTTTGGAGAGTGTTATGTGCTATGAAAAAAATAAAGAGAAGGTGATAGAGAATTAATGTCAGGTGGCAAAATGGGAGAAGAGTCTAAGGTCCAGCGGAGAGAAGCATTGGATTTGAGTTGGAGAATTCAAGGAACAGAAGACGACAGTGTGGTTAGAATTTGGAGAATGAGGGAGAGATGAGTTGGAAGGACAGGCAGAGATCAAATCATGTACAGTATTATAGGCCGTAATTAAGACTGTGGCTTCATGACTCAATGCCACGTAAAGATTTTGGAGGGTTTTAAGCATTGTAGTGGTACGACTGAGTGCAGTGCTAGTAACAGCTCAGTCTGAGCACCATTAACCTTTTTCAGGTTTGCAACAAGATAAGGAGATTGTACCAGAATGTTAAGCAACAAAAGCACACCTGAAAAGTTCAGCTGACTTTTTTTTCTTTCTCTAAGCAAGTAGTGAACTGATTTATGTTCTGGCTCAAGTTCTTTATGTCATTGCAGACCAGAAACAACCAGTTTACAGACAAGCACTTCTGTAACACTGATCTGGTGAATATTACAAAAAAAAAAAAAAAAGACTTTGGCACTGTTAGCTTCAGTTGGTAAATTAAAAGATACAAAGGGATATAGTGATTTGGGCAGTGACACCTTGGAATTTTAACTATAACGTTATACTGTTTGTCCATTTTGTCTTTCGAGCCTTCACCTGCCTCAGATATTCTCATACACAGCCAAGAACTTGTATTTCACTTACATAATTATTTATCACTTTAGGGTCTAATGATTAGGGCCAATTTGAATTGTGACCTAATAGTCCCAGATGCTGCCAGGCTCCTCAACCTCTTCCCACACTGGAATGTGACATGCACCAAATGATGTTTTTTCAATCCATGAGATTAATCTTCATCTCAACCTGTTAGTTCTTAAGGGCACAAAATGAGTTTGTTTTCTATTCTGTTATTAAAGCTATTTATTTAATTTTTAATAGTTCAAAAGGGCTGCAAGCCAATCACTGCTCAGGGAAAAAGAATTAATGAATGCGAATCACTCCTGTTACAACGCACAATGCATTTGTTCCATAGGCTTCCATATTCCTAAATTTACATCATTTTGAAGTAGAGGGTTCTTATGCCTATAAACATTTTATATATTTTCTTCTAGTTTTTATTTTTTTTAAACCAAAATTGTAATAGTATTTTGAATGCTGGCTTTTTCACTTTTACATTGTCATAAACATTCACTTACGTCACTATATATTTTTTATGATACATTAGTTTTAATGGCTGCTTAGTATTGTATCATATTTTGAGCTTTAATTTGTTTCCTCCTCATTTATTTTGCTTTTATAAACAATGCTAGTGTGAGCCTTCTTGCACATCAATCTTTGTCTGAGTCTCTACTTCTGTAGAATAAATTCCTGGAAATATAATTCCTTGCCAAAGATCACACTCAAGTCTAAAGTGAATACCCATGTCAGCTTTTCTTTTGAGCCAAACAACTATCAACAGCAGCAACAGCAACTAACATTTCTAGAGCTAATACAATAGGGGTAGAGTCTATGATTACCCCCATTCACAGACAGGGAGAAGTTAACTAGCATGCTCAAAGTCATGTAACGAGTAAATGGATTTGAACTACAACTGTTTGGTTTCAGAGCCAGTGTTCTGCTTAAATCAATAATTCTGGTGCACATTATTCGGAGTGAAAAAGTTCAGAGATAATTTACTAAAGATGATCATAATGCAAGTGATCCAGCAATTCCATTCCTAGGCATGCACCAAACCGAAATGTATACATACTTTCATCAAAAGTCATACACCAGTTGTTTTATAGCAGCACTACTTATAATAGTCCCAAACAGGAAATTATTTAAATACTCAAGAATAAAGTAAATAAATAAGTTGTAGTATACTCATACAATGAAACTCTACGCAGCAATGGGAATGAACAATGTTTAACTACATGTAGTTACAGGAATAAATCTTAGAAACATAATGTGGAATAAAAGAAACCAGACACACACAAAAAATACATACTCTATGAGTTGAGTTTATTCATATGAAGTACAAAAACCAGAGAAAACTAATCTATGTTTTTAGAGCCAGAGCAGTGGATACACTTGGGTGAGGGAGTTACTGGAAAGTTAGTAGAGAGAAGGCTTCCAGGGTGCTGTAATAGTCAGTTCTTTGACCTGAGTGCCAGTTATCCAGATATGTAGCTTGCTGAAGTTTATTGATCTGTGATAGATGTAATTTTCTTGTATGTATTTTTTAAAACATAAAACAAATAGAGATAATTAAATACTATATTCTCTACTTGAATATTGATATAGAAGAACTGGATATTCACTAGAAAAATGTGTTTCCAAAAAAGTAGAAATAGTATTAATATTAACTCTAAACAAATATTTTAGAAAGATGCTCTACTACTGAATAAGTTTACAAGTGAGACGTGATTTTTTTATTGCTAATGGTATTTCTGTATCTTTTTACTTATTTTTCATAGTTAAGAAAGTACAGCAGATGTCATTTGAAGGTTTTACAAGATACATGTATTCACCTGAATGTCTACTATTTAAACAAGAGTGTAAAAGAGTTTATCAAGATATGACTCATCCATTATGTGATTATTTTATTTCAACTTCACATAACACATATTTGATATCGGATCAATTAGTGGGACGAAGTGACCTTTGGGGATATGTAAGGTATTTATTTTGATTTTTAAATCTATTACATTTTAAAACAATTGGAAGCTCCTGTTTGTGTCTACCTCAATAGGCAATAGTGAACCTTAAAAAACATATTATGCCTGTTACCCAAACTCACAGGAAAGAGGAATTTTTATTTGTACATATCTTGATGATCCAACCTTTGGATGAAGTGGTAGCATAAATTATTGTATATATTAGTATCATATACTTTTCTTCTAATCCTGCCTTCTGACCTCCTCTCTATGTTTATAGCCCTTCTGAAATTTGCTGAATAACTTGGATACTTCTCATAGGAAAACATGTGAAGAAGACTTATCTTATTTAGCTAATCAGAACATACTAGATTTTAACAAACATGGTTAAAATTAATTCCCAGACATCAGGACACAATGCTTTAAGTAAAACCAACACATAAATACAGTAAATTGTGTAATTTGGCACTTATTGATAATGATTTTTATTGATTGATATGACAAATAATTTATACGGATTACAAGTAATCCATATTGCAACTTCAATTTTACGTCCTGTATGGATCATACTGTTAATACTGGGCTTCCATTTGGTCAGTCAGCTGAGACACTTCAAAGCTGCTACACTCATCTTCACATTAGCACAGACAGATAATACACTGGTAAATTAATATTTTCAGAGTCCTGTAGAGAAGACGAACTAAGCTAATGTGATAGGAAATGGGCTTCCATTTGGTCAGTCAGCTGAGACACTTCAAAGCTGCTACACTCATCTTCACATTACCACAGACAGATAATACACTGGTAAATTAATATTTTCAGAGTCCTGTAGAGAAGACGAACTAAGCTAATGTGATAGGAAATGACTAGGGGGTGGAGAGTGTTACTTAAGGTAAAGTTGTCAGGAAAGGCTTCTCAAGAGGTCACATAGTTGTGACCTGACTGATGATAAAAGGAAACTTTTTTCCAGTTGAAATGGAAAGCCACTGAAGGGATTTTCCTTAAGACAGTGTCATAATTTGATTTACTCTTTACTGTGGAGGAAATACTGATGGGACAGAAATAGCAGATGATTTGGGAAGATACTGTAGCAGTCCAGGTGACAATAGTTGTGTAGATGAACTCACGAGGTAGTAGCTGAAATGATGGCAAGTGGCTGAATTTGAGATATTTTAAGGCAGCAGAGCCAATGAGACTTACCAGATGATTTGAAGAAAGGTACGAGGGGGAGAGAAGAATCACGATTTTTAGCCCAATGACCAAATGCAATGAATGTTGAATGAGATGGTGAAGCCTGAGAGAGAAGCTTGTTGTAGGGTATGAGGCAAAAGCAAGAATTCTGTGGTTCCCATCTTAAGTTTGAGGTACATTGACTTACCAAAGGACTGAATCAAATAGCCAATTGGGTATATGTGTCTGGAATTCAAAAAAAAATATCCCAACTGGAAAATAGAATTGGAAGTCATCAGCATAAAGGTGATATTTAAAGCCAGGTGATTAGATGATATTACTTAAGGAAAAATCATAGATAAAATAATTTTGAATTAATTCCATAATATCAAATTTACAAATAAACATTACTTCTCCAATTTAAAATCTAAGTAAATACATGCATCCATAAATTCAGAAATGTATCCATTTAGAATTCTATAAAGATAGCTCAATTTATCACTATAATTTTGTTGTAGAAATTTCTATTCATACTTTATTATTCTAATTTTTTAAAATGAAGAAAATATGAATTTTAAAACAAGTTTATTTAAAAATACAGAAAATTACTTACGAATTCTAAGAAAATGTTCCACCCAACTACAAATTTATTTCTTTTCTTTTTTCTTCACCCACATTTGGAAGATGCACCCATAGAATGCAAGTCTTTCAAAATTTCTCTGCTCATCAGAAGTGGTATAATGTAATGTTTAAGCATCGGTGTTTAAGTTTCTGATGCTCACACTTCCTCTCTTCCATTTATTTGTTAATTTTGTGACTGATATAACCTCTTTGTGTCCCTGTTTCCTCATTTTTAAAAGAGGAAAATGGATATTACCTGCCATAAAACATTAAAAATTTTAATTCAGCGAAAGCTCCTCCAACTTATTTTTATTGCCAGTTACAATTCAGCTTCAAATAGAAAAAAATATGTTACACAATTTAAAGAAACTTACCATTAGTAAAAATTATAATATTTTATACCCTGGTAATTTATAGGAAGTATTTGAAGGAGATTTTAATGATGAATAGGTAAAGTTGAATAGGAATTTCATACCACAAAGTCATGTGCAGATTCTAGAATGCAGACAGAAATTCACCCATAAGCTTTCTAATGGCCAAAGCCAAGAGTGAAATAACACAGAATGCCTCAATATCACTACTAGAGAAGATCTAACTTTCTCTCATATGCCTCTGAATATTAGTGGTTGACTTGTCACAGTGTAACCCACCTAAAACACTTCTGCTGAAGACCAAGCCATGTAGTCTCAATATGTAATTTTGTAAAGGTTGATTTCATCAATGCATAAAATTAAAACTGTATGGAGAATTAGCAAGAATCAGTACTATTTATGAAAAGTTCTTCCACAACCGAGATTTTGGTAGGCACTCCCAACCCCTCTAGAGAGTTCAAGTTTGTTCTCTTGCAGCATCCCAGAGAACTGATGCTCTTTATTTATAAAAGGGCAAGACACTTCGACAATCACGGAAGAGTAGGGTAAAGCAATCATCCTTTCATGGAAATTAAGAAATTTGACAAATAAACATTGCTTCTTCTCCAATTTGAAATCTAAATGTATTAGAAAATCCACAAGCTGAGAAATATGTTCATTTATAATTTTACAAATAGAGCCCAATTTAGGACTTGTGCCTAGAAAGGTGGCCATCTTATTCACCCATGGAAATATCAATAGGTCAGACACGATTTCTCTAGAAGAGTGTTTTAGGTCCATTTCTCCAACACAAGGACAAGTGGATAACAAAGCTCTGAAGTTTTACATTATAATGCATTGTCACATGCCTGAATAAAGCAGTGTGCACTTCAAAAACAAACAACCCCCCCAAATAAAAAATTTTATTAATTATTTAATTTTATACTATATTTGTTTCGTTGAAGCCTCCAAGATAGATATTTACCAACTCCCTTTCCTTCTAATGCCCTACCTTCCCAGGATTTCATCCATCTTTCATCCATATTATTCCCAAGGGAAAATGTGTTCTCTCTTTCACTCCCTCTCTGTTTTTTATTTTTCTGAATTCAGTACCTTAACTTAGTGTCATAATTGCTTTATCTTTTCTCAGCTACACTTCTACCTACATACTGCTTGAGTCATCTCCCTAGGAAGGGACTAAATTTGATCCCCAAAGAAGTACCAGATCTGAAAAGTCTGTTTTCTCATATGGTGCATTTGGTGCTCTGTGCTTCTATTTGGGAAAACTACTGATTTTATATAAGTACTTGGTGCTGGGACCACATTCCCTTCTTCAGGCTGTCACTACTTACGCGGGGTTTCTCGAACTCTTCAAGTCAGATCATTCTTTGTTGTAGGGGGCTGTCCTGTGCATTGTAGAATGCTTCGTAACATCCCTGGCTTCTACACACTAGATGCCAGTTACAAACCTCCCCCATCCCCAATTGTGGCAATCAAAAATGTTTCCAGACATTGCCAAATATCTCCTTTGAGGCAAAATTGTCCCAACTGACAATCTGACCTAATTTAATAAACTTCTTGGAAAACAAGTGTTAACTAGACTTTCTATGAGAAAATATCACTATGTATATGGCAAGAGAGCTTGTTTAACATTGTCCCAACTGACAATCTGACCTAATTTAATAAACTTCTTGGAAAACAAGTGTTAACTAGGCTTTCTATGAGAAAATATCACTATGTATATGGCAAGAGAGCTTGTTTAATCTCTTTCCCAGTACATGAGTATCAATTCTAAAATCCTGGTGTTTCAAGTCAGCCCTCTTCTGCTTCAGTTCCATCTCTTCAATGATTGTATTTTAGGCGATCACGTCTGTCTGTCTTCCACTTTCCTTCTTAAATCCTTATAGTTCTCATTTTTTCTAATGCAAGCACAATAAATATGTGTTAATATTCAACTATATGTCAAGTTTTTTTATGAGACTGAAATTTTAGTCTCTGCTCTTGTAGAACTTAGAGCATAAGGAATAGACAGAAATCTCAAAATTTAGAGTCCACAACAATAACCATTGCATATATTGGAGGTGCTGGCATGGTGGCTGGCAAATATCAGCTTCATGTTAGGCCATACTTATAGAAAATAAGAAGCAGGTATATTCAATTCAACACAAATATGTGTGTGTATCTATGAAATAAAACATTTCATCTTACTGCATATTTCATCTTATACACATTTTTATAAATCAATGAAATTTCTAAAATAAATCAATAAATTTTAGTGAACTCTGTATTTTTTAGCAAAAGTAACCTGTTTTATGGCAGCATGCGATGACCCACTCTGGACTGGCTATGAAGATTTTGAGACATCTCTATGTGTATACTTATCAGTCAGTGAAAAATCTGTATGCAATCAGCAGTGATTGACACAGTGTAAACAAAACTAAACCTGTTAATAAAGTATCTTGTCACTGCTCCCTTGTAGTAAGAACAGTGAAAATTCATTTAAACCTAGAGGGTACAACTGACTTATGAATCTAAGATAGAATTTATGTCTAGGTCAAGAACATGAAATTTGTATGTGAGGTGGAAAAGTTAGATCCAGTTTTAAATATTAGCAGAAGTGGAAATATGTTTTCCTCAATTTTGATAAAGCTGTGAACTTGGTGTATTCTGAGCCTATCCATTCAAACTTTTCTTCTAGTGAAATCATGTGTCAAATACACCTAGATTAGCAGGCATTCAGCCTTCCTTTGTGTAAATCTTACTTTTCTCTAGCTCTTACTTGGATTAGAATTAGAGATGGTCTTACATAAAATGGTTAAAGAAGGTGAAGATTGTTTACTGAGTCATCAGGCCCTCTAGCTTCCACACTTCCATCCCCTCCATCCAACATTTTCTCCAGGGAGCAGGTATTATCATCATTTTTTCCCCTCTTTTTTCTTCCTTTAGCACCATATATGCCATTCCCCCAAACCTATGAGTAGATAATCAAATAAAATTTTATTAATATATTTTATTATTCTGAGAAGGCTTTGAACATTATTTCACTTCAATGGTAATGTATTTAAAAATAGATATCACCATAAGCAAAATTGTTTGGGTTGGAAGTAGGGATGTTTTGGAGCTACAGCTATGGAGGTAGGCATCTTCTTTGCTTACTGTAAACCAAGCCTTGAATAGAAAACATTTGACTAGAAAGGAGCAGACATACTACTGTATTACACAGGCAGTTTGTCTCTTCCTTTTTAATGTCGTGAATTTCTAGAGACTCAAAACTTGTCTTTACTATGGATTTGTTTCTTCATTTATTGCACAATCCCAGATAGTTTTTGGAGTATTTTTACACTATGGTATATATTTTTAATGGTCCAGGAGTGACACTTTGTTTTGCTTAAATTTTACTAGTGCCCTTGTGAAAGGATGCCGCTGTCTAGAAATTGACTGCTGGGATGGATCACAAAATGAACCTGTTGTGTACCACGGTTATACACTCACCAGCAAGCTCCTCTTTAAAACTGTTATCCAAGCAATACACAAATATGCATTCATGGTACGTACCTATCTTTCTTAAATTGTAGTTATTTAAACAGAGTCAATCATAATTTACTTACTTCAGTATTCTATAATGCTTGGACTTAGTTTAGACTAGTGATATTTATGCATTCATGGTACGTACCTATCTTTCTTAAATTGTAGTTATTTAAACAGAGTCAATCATGATTTACTTACTTCAGTATTCTATAATGCTTGGACTTAGTTTAGACTAGTGATATTTCAAATTGTTGGTAATGACCCATTAGTAGGAGTGAAATCCATGTAGTATATCATTAAAGGTAGATCTATCAAAGTTAACTCAGGTAGTAAGGTACATGTTGTTTCATGAAACTTTTTAATTGTGCATGTATGTGTTTTTATGTGAATTGTGCCACAATGTAAAATATGTTTCTCACTGTCAATTACGGCTAAGAAAGTTTGAGAAATATTGGCCTAAATAGTAGTTAATATTTAATCAACATTCACTTTTAAGACACAAAATAAAATAAAATGCCACCAGTGCTTTATCTTGTTGACATTATTTTCTGACTATAATGACAGCTATTTCTATAGCAAGAAGTGTTCAGAAGTTTATTTTGGATTTTAAAATTGTTATTCAATTTACTAAAGTTACAGATTCAAAGATCTAGATCTTCCTCGAACTAAATTCAGTTTACCAATCCTAGTCTATAAATTGAGTAGGTTTTAGTAATCCCTCTATTTTAAGGAGTTTTAAATAATT